CAACATACCCCCAAGCGCCCCCCCCCCCCCCCCCCAACCCCCCCGACCCGCTGAACCCCCCCATTCTATCCCTTACCACGTGTCCAGCCCCTTTCTCAGGCAGGCAGCCCTCAAAGATGGCCAAGATGGACCCACCTTGCTCTGACGAACGACAGCCGTCGATCTCGTGGCTGCTGCGGGGCTGTACTCCGACCTCTGGAGGATCACCTGCGTCAACGGCCCAAGACACGCCATCTGTGCAAAACACATGCACAATAACAACCCAACACCAAAGGCACCGGCACGCGCACACAAGACGACACGTCCCCCCCGCCGCCCACCAACCACCAAGATCACAACTTCCCAACGAAACCACCACCCGCCAGAAACACAACCAACGGTACATCCGTTAAAATTGGAACAATACACACCTGCGCGCAAGGATGACACGCACACACATCGAGAAGTAGACTGAAAACACACACACACACACACACACACACACGCGCGCGCAACGACCAAGAATACAAGTCAGTCAAACATTATCAACCAAGCCGACGACAATCGGGAACGCCAGATCCGTCCTCCACTCACCTCCACATAAGGTTCGCTGAGACCCACACTTCGCATACGTACTGTAACCGATATAATCAATCAAAATCACCGCGCGAGACCCTTCCTTTTCTTAGTAACTTGCTCAAAAAGGGGTAAAAGAACCGAAGAGGAGGAGAGAGGAGGAGGGGGGGGGGGGGGGGGAGAGAGTGAAGGGGGAATATAGTTAACAGCAATTGTCGGGATCAAAGATTGCTCTCGTGTTAACCCCTATGGCACGGTTGACTGAAGTTCGCAAAAGACTGTTGTGCAGCGATTTTTCCACGGAAAAGGGGTCTCGGCTTAGGGTTTAAGGTTGTCTTTCTTTCCTTTCTTTCTCCCCCTGCTCCTTTCGTTTTTGGCTTTAGGGTTTGATTGATGCATGTACACTGATGGATAGGTGGCCAGCTCGCTTGAAAAAGTCTTTTTACATTCGAATTATGGCTGCTTGAAAAGAATTCTCGTACGTCATGAAGGCCGCATGAAAACGCCTTGCTCAGTTTTCGTTCACCCCGCTCAAATCAATACCTGGTCACAGTCCGGATTGCAGGCAAGTTTGATAGAAAAGAGAAAACAGAAATACGACGTCTGAAAAAAAAAAAAAAAAAAAAAAAAAACGATGTCTGATTAGCTAGTTGGTGAGGTGATTAACCTTCTCTCGTCACAGGTCACAAATGAAACAAACAAACATTATCGACCCAGCGGAAGTTGTCTTTGATTATTTTTCGCCTCGTCGCCAAACCCCATCAAGCGCGACCCCCATCCCACACTCGTCCGAATTCTCGTAATCACAATCATCATCACAACCCGCCCGTTCATATAGCTCTATCGTCCATCTAGACAAAAGCCCATCCATGCCCTGCAGCGTTCCTTGATGAACTAAACAGCTTTACGACGGACCCTTCCATCATCTGTTGTCCGAATCAGATCAGACGACTACAACGTCCGTAGACAAAAGCCCATCCATGCCCTGCAGCGTCCCCATCCATGCCCTGCAGCGTTCCTTGACGAACAAAACCGCTTTACGACGGACCCTCCCATCATCTGTTGTCCGAATCAGATCAGACGACTACAATCCTCATCAATGATAGACTTTGCTATACCCCTCCTCCGCTTATCAGACAATAGGATTACCTCGTTGATTGACTGCAAGACCGACTGGTGGTCAGCGCCATAGACTGAACCTCGTTGATCGACTGGTGGTGGTCAGCTCCATCGACTGATTGATTACCTCGTTGATTGATGCAACCCATCAATCGGTTGACGACCGACAGGACGGACTGCCCGATTCTACTTGAATGGGGTGGTCAAAATGATGCCCCATGATTCGCCTGAATTGCCTGATTAATCAAAACCAAATGCCTGGACAACCCAATGCCACAGTTGGAAGTTAAAGATTCCATGGAAGGACGGATGGATGGATACGAGGGATCAACACGAGGGATCGAGTGGTGGTCAGCCCCGTCGACTGATTACCTCGTTGATTGATTCAGCCCATCAATCAGTTGACAAACGAATGGATGGACGGCCGGATTACTTAAATGGGATGGTCGGGATGATGCCCCGTGATTCGCCTGATTGCCTGATTAATCAAACCGAACGCCTGGACAACACAGTGCCACAGTTGAGAGTTGAGGCCGCATAATCAAACCAAACGCCTGATTGCCTGATTAATCAAACAAAACGGATGGATGAATACACAAGGGATCAACACGATGGATGCATATGAGGGGCTTCGGCAGATACTGCGAACATGGAGGGACGGATGGATGGTATACAAAGGATGCATATGAGGGATCGATGAAGAGGGATAATCAACAAGAGGACGGATGAGAAACGTCCGATGGATGATGATACCGTAAATGGGATGCATAAACTTCCCGCTGAGATTGTCGTGTTGCTTTTTCACTTTTCTACCACTGCAACATCTCCATGGCCGACGGCTGTTGCCGTTCGACACATTCCTCAAAGAGTCCCCCATCTCGCTTGGCTCAAAATAACAGATCGGCTATTATACGCATGGGATTTTCTCGCCTCTGTCTTGCCCACCTGTTTCTTACCTCACGCATGGAAACCAACCTCAATCCCCATTGGCTTCACGTACGTGCCTGAGCATGCTTGGTGTTCTACAATCTACCCTAGAGATAACCCGTTGGGCCCCCAACCCAGCATTGGCAGGACCTTGGGCAATGTTGTTGGTTGCTACCGTCTTCACCCGAATAGAACGCCCGGTCATTATAGCTGACTATGAGGCAACTTTCAGCCCAGTTACGGCGACAATTACCGGGCGTTCTATTCGGGTGACGACGGTAGGCAACAACAATATTGGTCATTAGACACCCCTAATATGGGGTTGGAGAGGGGTAGGAGGAGGTGCAATTTACTGCCCGTCAAGTGCAGTAAATTTACACCAGCATCGCCGGTTTGACCGTCAACAATGCCTGATCGCCCCGCATCACCGCGATGAGGGGGTGATACAAGCCTTGCTCTAGCACCACCGCTTTGGTGCGAACCTACCCCGGGGGCTGGGAGAGATGCATCTGGGTTTGGTTCGTGTTCCCCCGTACTATACATAAGAGTAAGAGTAGCGAGAGGACGAGTGAGATAAAGAAAATTATATATATAGAATATATATTTTCCATTCTAGGAAGAATAAGACCACGAATACCCGCCACCACTCTCTATGGATGGTGGGGACCACGCCGATTGCCTCACACTCAAAATGACGCACGAACGCGGATATCCGATCCCGCTCCTGGGGTGGCTGTCAAAGCGGGGTTTTCTCCCCACATACTGGGAAGTACGCTAGAGAGACCGAGAAAGAGAGAGATTACACACACCGTGTGTCCAGAAGACTTTTCTCACGCTCAGAAACTCACAGGCTTGGAAGAATCTCTCTCTCTCTCTCTCTCTCTCTCTCTCTCTCTCTCTCTCTCTCTCTCTCTCTCTCTCTCNAGAGCTATCTCTCTCTCTCTCTCTCTCTCTCTCTCTCTCTCTCTCTCTCTCTCTCTCTCTCTCTCTCTCTCTCTCTCTCTCTCTCTCTCCGTGTACATATCTCTATCTATCCATCCCCACGCAAAGAACAAATCTGCGAGTTGCCAAACAGTTCGCCCCCCACATGCGTTGACGGCCCATCCTGACATGACGACACTGCACTCTTGCTTCAAGCACAACGCTGGTCCGAGACCGGATAAGAGAGAGAAGGGGAGAAGAAGAGGAGAAGGAAGGTGAGCAGAAGGTGAGAAGAAAGCGAGAAGAATGGAGGAGACGAGACAAGGAAAGAGGAGACGAAGAGAAGAGGAGGATGCGAGAAACAACGGGGGGAGACACGAAGGAGAACAGGGAGAAGAGAGACAAAAAAAAATAGTCACGTAGCTGGCACAGGAATCGTCGATTGCCAACCCCATCCACTGACATAAACAGACAAAATAGAGAAAAGCGAGAGACATAAGATAGTTACACGAATACCCTCGAACGGGACTTGCGCATTGCCACACACATCAGACAAGAGCGAGAGTTTTGGGGCATTAATAACGGAGACCCCGTTAGACCCAAGTCCAATACAATGAGCACGTGCCAGAAACGGAGGAGCGACGTGAAAAAGGGACCGACCAAAGAAACAAGAACTTGAAAAGGAGCAGGAGGAGCAGGAGAAGCAGGAGGTGCGGACGAAAAAGGATGGAGAAAAGCAGTGCGAGGAGGAGAAGAGGACAAGGAGAGGAGGAGGACATGTCAAAATGTGAAGAACGAGGAGAAGGCAAAGGAGAGACGCATAAAAGACTGCAGAAGGGAGACATCCACATCCCTGAGGTAACGCCCAGACATTGAGAGGAAGGATAAAGTGATTGGAAGTCACGGTCACGTACCTACAACTTCCTCGTTTCTCGCCGACGCCGCCGACGCCGCCGCCGAGGTGTCCTCCCGTCGTACATCTTCCTGGGACCACAAATCGAGCTTAACGCGACGACCGCTACCAGCCCCAAAGCCCGAAGATTGATGCCGATTTCTGCGCCTCCCCATCTTCTGCTGTAATGTCCTCCTCCCCTCTCCACCACTCAACCCTCGACTCACACACAGTGGCTCATCCCACGCGTGTACACACGTACGCCAATTCGTAGCAACACGATCGCAGTCCGCAATTATTAGATAGTACACCACACACGAGTGATTCACGCAATCGAAAGAACAATTGCACGTGCGAAGCCCAACTCACATCCACGTCACAATGAACCTTTTCGAAACCCACTCGAGCAAATTACGACTAAACTAACCAATTTCCACATGCCACGTGGCACCCAGTCGCCGCCCTCACCTCCTCGACACCCAAAACTGGACACGTCACGCCCGACGCAGTTTATAACTGCAATGTCCAGACGATATCCGATCGTGTCACACGCCCTATCTTCCAGCCTTGGGAAGGCTGCTTGTGTTGTTCCCTGCTCAAGCGACTACCTCTCGTGCGCGTACCTCTCGCCTCGTTGCTCCCTGCCGCGTGGCAATCTGCACAACCATGCCCGGTAGCAACAGCACCCATGACTCGATTGGTGAAAGCAAACCCCCCCGTAGTGCTTCAACCTTTGGGGATATTACACGAATGCCCATGAAGCATTCCCTACCTATGCAGAACTCCATATCGACCCCCGTACTGCTACAACCTTTGGGGATATTACGCGAATGCCCGTGAAAAGTTCCCTACCTATGCAGAACTCCATACCAAATGACCTTGCCCCGCTTTTCTATTTTCAGGAAAATTGCCTCTCTACCCTGGGAATTGCGTGTATACCCAGTCCCAGTTCCTCTCCGGGCAATGGCCTGTCGAAATTATTTGGACGCCCAGGACCGAGGTGGACCACGGTCGGTACCCCCAAATCGCGTCTGTAACCCGTGCCAGTGCCCAGCTTGCATCTATAACTGGGAAATTATTGACTTACCGTGAGGGCACGGGTGCGCAGCCCGTAGTTTGTATATGCTTAATTGATGAAGGAGGCTTTACTGGTGAGGTTTAGAAGTAGGGTGATTGCTGCATGTATGTGTCAAGATTTGTGTGTGTGTGTTTGTGTGATACTTAGGGTGTTTGTGTTCGTGTGATACTTAGGGTGTTTGTGTTTTGATACTTAGGGTGTTTGTGTTTATCACATCTGTTAGTGTTGTGTGGGATTTAGGTAATTTGTATGGTATTAATGAATTAGATATTTGACATACCTTGATTCATAGCAGAGGTGGCAACTGGGTAACCATTGCCCGTACCCGACCGTACCTACCCGACCGTACCCAACTGTAACCGGCAGGTTATGGGCAGGTACGGGTGCCCTTCCGGAGGAGGTCTTCGGTATGGGCAGGCATAAATTTTATTTGTGGATTTCAGGGCAGGCACGGTTGCACTGCGTGGAGATCACGGGCAGGCATGGGCGGGTATTGGCGGTGAAAAGGGAAAAAACGCTGGTATGGGCGGCCAAGAAAAAGAAAAGCATGGGTAAAGTCGTTATAGGGTGGTGAAGAAAACAAATCAGATGGGTATGGGCGGGTAAGCAATTCTGTCGGGTAACCGTACTTAATATCCACCTTCCCCCCCCTTCCCCCCATTCCCTTCTTCCGAGGAAATATGCAGACCGGCGGGGCTGTTTTTTTCTTAGGCACATTTTTTTTTTTCCAGGTGCGAACGACGAGAAAAATATTTCAGGAAATAGCCTCCCAACTTCGAAATTGGCCACTTTCGAAATTGGAAGGGTCCAGCCTCGACTCAGGGAGTTCCCCCTTGGAAATTGGCCACCCGTCATAGTTGTACCCGCCGCCCTTCTGCGTGTGCATGCCACTGCATGACCATCGTCTGCCCCTCGTGGTTGTACCCGTTGCCGTTTTGTGACTGTGAAACCGCGCGTTCATTAAACGCGGGTTTTCCGTTCAGAAATTGAACGGAATGCACGTGCGTTCAATGAACGGGACCGAACGCGGAGTTCAATTCCAC